GCTGCACATCAGATAAGGTGCATTCTTGCAAAGTGCCATTCCTTGAAAAAAAGTCTTCAGTCTCCACCTTCAGATAAGACCCCACAAAACTGCCTTAGAGAATATATCAAATGGTACACAGACAGGAGAACAGGTAGGAAAGAAGGGAATCCCACCTACACTTCTTATTCTGCTAGTGGCACGTGAGCGTACTGTATAGACTGCTTGATCACAGGGTTTGTGGGGTCTTCTTAACAGCTAGGCTGAGTTATGCAGGTGAAAGTATGATTTGTGCATTTTGTTAACCACATAAGCAAGCTTTAAACTCACCAGTTTCAATATAGTTAATGTCTTTTTCATTATACATTGGACAAAAATAGAGCTCTGTTACAAGTGACATACACTATCTTGTTTTTTCTTCCTTCTGAGATGCCTGAAGAAAGAAAGAGATGTGATCTATTCCAAATCTGTGAATGAATGCGTAAAATATAGTTATCTGACAGGGCCACTGGTATCTTTTCATAAAGACTTAAGTAGCCAGCCTTCGTGTCACTGCACAATCTTTACGGTTGCAGGAGCTTAGCAGGAAGCTTAGAGAGCTTTGCCTGTGTTTTGCTGCTTTTCTCATCAGTGCTTTAATGCCTACTGATTAAGAGGTCGTAAATCTTTGCGATATTAGCGGAGGAGTCCATTTCCATAGCAAATGACAACCTTTCCCTGCCTCCTTTTAACTGTTATCATGCACATGTGGCAGCTACTTGTACATATCATTGTCACACACACCATATATTCCGTACAATGAATGCTCTTTTCCTGGAAACCTGAACCTCTTACCACTGCTAGAGGGTAGCCTTTACTCTTGAGGTCACCTAACTTGGCAAGTCAGTGAGTTAATGGGTCTGAAAAGATTATCCTAGACCAAAATTGATGTAAACATTCTCCTTTCAATGTAGAACGTATGGGCTTGGATGCCTTTCATCTTTCTTTGCACATTCCAGATGTTTGCTTCTTTCCTCTCATCGTATATACATGGTGGGATAGATAATGTACTGAGTTCAGATTTATGTCTAGAGCATGATGTGTTTGTACTCTGCTTCATTGCACCTTCTTTTTCCCTTTTATTTGGGAAAGGAGAAGTACCTTAAAAGCCTTTTTTAATTCAGGTTTGATTTGTTTATTCAGTGCTTTCCAAAAGCAGTCTGGTTAGAGTCCCTCGTCCCCTTCATTTCCTCTGCTGTTCCCCTGCGATGTATCTCCTTTCAGTCAAGGATGACTCTGTGCTGTAGTGGTTTACTCCTTTGGCTGCTTTGAAAAAGTTCCAGAAGGCAAATCTCACAATTTGCTTTGGGAGGGTCCTTGTTTAAAAAAACCAAAACAACTCACCAACATAAAACAGATCTTTAACATTAGGTATTTTGAGAGTTAAATGCTAATTTTTCCCCAGGTGATACTCTAATATGCATTCACATCTTAAAGTTATAATGGGTATTTCAGTTTTTACCTTTCACTGAATGTCAACAGCCCTTAATGACTATGTGCTGTTAAAAATTTTCTTTTGTTTTCGGGTTCGACCTGAAGGTCTCTGAAGCTGAACTACTGTTAACTTCTCTAGCATAGGGACAATTTCTCTTTTATCATCCGAGTGTCTTTTATTTTTCCCAAACAGGCATGTTAGGTCTATTAACAAATGTCAGAATCCACAGACCACAGTTATTCCTCCTATTCCTGTTTTTCCAGTCTTGCTTCTTTGACTGTGAGTCAATCCAGAATAGATTCCCCCCCCCAACTCAAGGATGGTGCAAACACACTTGATGCAAAATCAAAATGTCTACTCAAGTATCAATAAAAGACATTTAAAGAACAAGGAAGTGTGCTTTGAGCTAGGACACCATTACCATCTGAAAAAATAATTGTGGTTAATTCACTCAGTAGTTTATATTGTTATATATCTTGCTTCTCTTAAATTAGACAATGGTGTTGTCCAATAAAATATGCATCTATTTGTCATCAGATTTGTAGAAAAACTATTTTGGATGATGCTTTCCCCACAGCTTTCTTGATTACTGCACTATGCTACCGATTTCTGTTACTTTTTCTAAATTCTGCATGCTCCTGTCCCTTCTGTCCCTTGCCCTTGCTCCCACCTCTGCCCACTCTGGGTAGGGGAAATCTGGCACCTTTTCTCTTTAGTAGCAGGGAATTTTTAACCATTGACCTTGGCATACTGTGTAACTTACTTTCTAGGTATGCAAACTTCTTGTGAATACCTTGGTGTGTAGCCTTAGTGTACCTGAACCCTGAATATACTTTACTTGAAGCTTAGCTGACAAATTCCAGGGATATGTTCCTCTCTCTTGAGTTTTAGGAGAAACAAGATTCAAAATTCTTGAAGCACAAGAGATTACTCAAGTTTCTTTGAGTTAAAATCACCATATACAAAGGGACGTATTGGAGGGAGCAGTTGCCTGGCTCCGAGGGGTGGCCAGGGAGGAGACTCCTCTGGCGTCCCTGGGTATAGTTCTGCCTCCCTGCTTTGCTGGAGGTGGCTCTCCACTGTACAAGGTGAGCTTGAATGTCGCTTTTTATCCAGTGTGATTTGGACCTGTGTATTGCATGCATGCATATTTATCTATGTATTTCTTTGTAGTTGGTTGATTTTAAATCAAGTACCCCAAGTTTCGGGGGAATTAACCTGAGATATGGCTTTGATCATCAGAAAGCGTTTTATCTTGTGTCCCTTTCTTACTTTTCCAGGACTCCAGTTGTAAAATGTTGTTCTGGAAGTTCACCTTGTGAATTTTGGCATCATTTGCTGCACAGATTAGCTTGAGACAAATTGATTCAGAATTAAGAGTTTGGTCGTCTCAGCAATGGCATTTGGGAAGGGCTTTTCCAGAGGTCACTGCTCGGGATGGGACAGGCAGAGGTCCACGTGTCCTGGCTGAGCGTGCCCCTTCCTAGGTCCCTGTCCCATGCATCGGGATGTGCTCTTTAGGTTGGCGTCTTGGCCAAAGGTACAGCAGCCTCTGTGCCAGCCAAAAGTCCCCTGCTGCAAAAAGGTCCTTAGCTGCTCAACAGCCATCTTAATTCTTCGGTTCTCTTCCGGAACAGCAAAGGGATTCCCTGGTGGGCTGCAGTGGAGGGGGGGTCTGTGCATGCGCCTTTAAAACACTGTTACATACAACAGAGGAAATCAGGACGTAATTAGTGCCGTCTGTATTAACAGGTAGATTGTCTGTGTACTCTTTTAGTACTCTGTTAGTACTCTATTAGTAACCCCATTGTGTTTTGAGTATGGCAAATGGATAGATAGAGGAAATTTGTCGTCTTCGTAAAATTGAGTGCTTGTGTCTGTAGTGCCCTGGTCTGACATGGGAGTTTGTAAACTTCCTAGCTCTTCAGAAAACATTATCAAAGCTTTTATCTATCTAAAGAAAAAAATAACACCCTCAAAAAATAAAACATTGATACTAAGAAATAAACACATTTTTTAGCTCAGGTGTGCAGAGCAGTGGATTTTTAGCTTACATATTTTGGGGTTTTATGATATACTTTTGCAAAGATGTGGGGAATGATTGTATGCTTCCTCTTTTATGTACTCTTTAAAGGATAAATCAGCTTTATCATGTGATAAATTTGTGTATGTATACATGACTGTAAAATATATATTTAAATTGTTTTAACAAATTTGACCTTCTCCTGAAACATTTGACAGATTTTTCTCATAATTTCTACAATTCTTAGGAATTGCTAGATCACCTTACAATTTTAAATATCCCATTTGGTCATCCTTTAAGAATTACTTAACTTAGCTCTGGTGAAAGAAGGAAATTCATAAGAAATAATCTGTCAGGCTGAAAGAACTTTGCAATAAGTGAATTGTCATACTAAAAGGGACTTGATTATTTTCTTTCCCTTGGCAGTTTTCTAAGTGTATGCTGTGAATTCAGAAATCACTCTCAACAAAACTATCTACTGTCTGGATCTTGGCTTCTCAGGGCTGTGTTACTGGAAAGCTGAAATGTCTATCTAATACACTGTTGTGTATGCAAACAGCTATTAAAAATAATCAGAAAAAGGGACTCGACATCTAAGACGATTTTGTCCACAGACGACTTCTCTTCCGTTAATATTTTAAATTGGTTTTGTGCCTAATTTGTATGGCTAATTCATTAAGTGCTGTTTAATCAAGTTTTTAGTAGCCTTTTGTTTGTCTGCATGAGCCTTCTGTAAGAGGAGAAGGCAAGCTTTAGATACGGGGCTCTATAGTCCCTTGGCATAGTATTATGCATGTAGCGCCCAGCACAGCCCTCCTCTCCCTGGTATGTGAAATGGGGTCATTCTGCTGCACTGACTAAAGGACTGATGGTTAAAAAAAAAAGTGAGTTGCTTTAACAAGTTTAATTCCCATCAAATACTAAGGAGTATTTTCTCTTACATTCGCTGTTTTCCATCATAATGTGGGAATATTATCTACTAGTATTCTTCTGTTCAACACTATACTTTCCCGTTCTAAATATAATGAATTAATATTACGTTAAGATAATGAATATAATATTACATGGCAATAAACACCAATTTAAAAAGTTTTGTTGTATACACTTCAAATACTGAAACTGGAATTATGCTATGGCATATAGATGGTCTTATCTTGTTGATACTGACACTTTAAGGCTTTAAGGATGTCTGTTTGTGTGATATGATGAGATTTTAATATCAGGTAGAATGTCTGCAAGCCCTTAATGAAAAAATCAAAAGTCACATTTTATGGACATTAATCTTCTGTAGCTGACTTAAAGGTAAAAGCTTGTTTTTTCTTGCTTTGCATCAATGTATTTAATTCTGATTTTAAAATTCAGAATTCTGCTTCCGGTCTTCTACAGAACTTTCATATCAACTTGCTTACATCATCTGAAACATAAAGTCAATGTTGCAGGCATGCCTTTGGTTTTATATTATGATATATACTGTTTCTTTGTCTTTCAAAATTCTAACACAGCTTTTCCTTTCTCCTGTGGCAGGATGACAAGGACTTGGTTCATGAGTTTGTTGTCGCTGAAGGTCTGACTTGCTTAATCAAAGTGGGAGCAGAGGCCGACCAGAATTATCAGAACTACATCCTGAGAGGTAAAGGAAATGCATCCAAAAGTTGTTTTTATTGCTCTGAAGCTCTCACAGGTCTGCTTCAACTTGCCGTGTTAAGTCTCTTGCAACACGTTCCTCAGTTTGGTCCTGATTCTTGCATGTTATGCAGGAAAATTAAGGGGGATTAATACTCACTGCTGAGCAGGATGAATTGGAAAATTCAAATATTGATAGTCTCTCCATTGTCCAGCTTTTCTTGTAGATCGTACTGAAAATCCGTAATTCTAAGAAAGAAAGGGCATTCTAAAGCTTTCACCGGATAATTGTAAATGTCAAAGGGCACAGAGCAAAATAACTTCTTGGAGTGGGATTAGTAGCTATGGAATAAACAGTGAGACGGTCATATCTTAAGGGCAGTTGGCTGGAAAAAATTTTTAGCTATCTGATATTTTGGAGTTAAACAGGTAATCAGAGGTTTACATTCTGTTCTTCGCACTTAAAAGATAACTGGCAAACATAGGGTTTGGAGAGTGATGTGGAAAAGGTGTGTTACTGGATTAGAAAGCTGATTTACTGTGTTGTGGCCCAAATGAATGCGTGCGATTTTGACCTAACCAGGAAACCCAGGCTGCAAATTGAGAGAGTTCCTTCAATGGTTTGAGGGGTTATGAGCAAGGGGAGAACAATCACACCAAGGGATCTTTGCTGCTGGATGATCTCATAGTAAATAGAGAGCGCTAATGAATGCATAGCTGTGGTGGATTGCTCATTTGAATTTTCTTAGACTGGCGTATATAGCTGTCTTTAAAAATGTCACTTTGATGTATTTAGCTGCCAAAACTCAAACTGCAAATTGAGGAGTAAAACAAATACAAAAATAATGAGGATTTCGTAAGAACCAGGAATGCGAAGTTATTGAAAGCAAGGATGCAAATAGTAAGTGTGGCTTCATGTGAAGGACTTGAAGGTTAGACTGTACGAATACCAGCTTTTGGGGGTGTATAAGAAACCAAACTAGTACCACAAATTATGTTCTGTGTCAGTAGCTGTACAGTGATATAAATGTACTTGAATAGTAGCTTGTATATACTCAAAAGTAGAAGACTACTAACCACAATGAAACTAGACAAGGACACAGAAACATGTGAAAGAAAGATTTTCTTTACAGCTGAAAGAAGAGGTTTCTGGGAGGAAACTGGCCATAGATGCTCTCAGAAAATTCAGACTAGAAGCAAAATAAAAGTGCTGTATAGGACAGTCTGGCCTTCAGTCTAGGGCTTTACTCCTTTATCAGCTCGGCCTTCATCTAGCGTGGCTGGATCACGTCTTTGCCCTTCAACTGGGGGCTGGATGACGTCTTTGCCCTTCAGCTGGGTTTTGCAGCCAAATATTGAAAATTCAAAGTAAGGAAGCCTGATAGGTGTTTACGCTACCTGAGTAACCAAGTGGCCTCATAATCCAAATACTGGATAGCCCTGCAGCGCTTCTGCTCCAGTGTCAGGTAAGGTCCAGGGCACTGAGCCTCACAGTTGACAGAATGATCTGCTGATACTAGAGAAGTCAGTCACATCTGAGTGATCTCACCACACTATTGCGCTTGCCTTCATCTTACTGAGATCTCGTTTGACATCATCCAGGTATGGATTGAGAAGAATTAAAACTTCCTTCCACATTGATTTCTTTTTCTTGTTACTAGGATATACCCTAAAGCTTCCAGAATTCAGGGAGATGACAGTGATCTCTTTCTTGGTGTGGCTTCTCTAGTTGTGCTGTGTTTAAGAGCTTGGTGTCCATGGTCTGAAGTTAGAGATGTTCCACTGAATTCAATGAATGATAAAACAGAGCCTTTAGTGCCAATGTTCATGGCATCATAATAAGGAAACTGCAAACTCATCTTGTTGCATTGTTATTAACAAGTGGTCACAACTTGTTCAAAATAAATATAAAACAAACAAACCATCACCACTACCAACAACAAAAACTAACCATATGGAAGTAAGCCATAGAGCTAAAACCTTTATTTTAAGAAGATGCTTTTAGGGTTTGGTGTCTTCTGAAATCAGGTCTTTTTTTCCCCCTATTTTGCTGGTGCGAGAAGCTGAAGTTTCTCTCTGGGTAGTGTATCCTAGCATCTGTTGCAATAATACGATATTTCTCTGTGATGTGGATTTTATTTCAGAAATTAAATTTGTCTTGATTGTCTTTCAGGAAGTTCAAAGCTTGTTACAACTCCAAGATTATGTCAGCTGGTTTGCAGTTCCAGGAGCCAGCATGTACTTTCTGAATAGGTCTGCATGTGCAATGAGATAAAGATAGGTTTGGAAGTACAGTGTAGCCAGACAATCTTATCCAAATGCATTGAGGAGGGTGCTGAAAAGAAACATTAATACGTCATGTAAGAATGTTTTTCTGGTGTATTATTTTTGGACGACCATAGCAATTGGTTGGATTTTTTTGTGACAGTCATGTGTATTATTGCAGTGCTGCATTTTACGAAACTCAGAGTACTGATGAATAGGTTAATAAATTTCACTGAAGATACATCACGGTTAGCACTGAGGGGGTCCCATAAGCTTTAAACTCAGTGTTTAGTTACGGAGATTTAAAAAAGAAAAAAAAAGTCATCTTTGTCTAGAATTCTTGTGCCTTACTGCTGTGGTGTCCTTGTCCTGCAGATCCTTTTGGAGTGAAATACATCCTCCTTATTTTCACTCCATTTAACCTGAATCATAAAGGGATGGATTTCTCCTTAATTCTGTATTCTGGCTGCATTTCTCCAGCACCTTTGCTGTGATTCACTGTTTTCCTCTTGTGATCCTAACCCGGCTTGCAGGGCTTGTGACAGTAAATGGCAGCCTTAGGCACAGCATTGCCTCCTCCGCCTCCAGGACTTGCCCATGTGGGGCTGCCCATCTTGACTGAGTGGTTTCCAGGTGTTTCCTGTGAACTTGTTTGCCTGCACTCTTCAAGAAATAGCTTTAGTGCCGGGTGCATAGTGCAATAGCCAAGTGCCGGGTGCTGCACTTCAGCCACAACAACCCCGTGCAGCGCTACAGGCTTGGGGAAGAGTGGCTGGAAAGCTGCCCGGCGGAAAAGGACCTGGGGGTGCTGTTGACAGCCGGCTGAACATGAGCCGGCAGTGTGCCCAGGTGGCCAAGAAGGCCAATGGCATCCTGGCCTGTATCAGAAATAGTGTGGCCAGCAGGAGTAGGGAAGTGATCGTGCCCCTGTAGTCGGCACTGGTGAGGCCGCACCTCGAATATTGTGTTCAGTTTCGGGCCCCTCACTACAAGAAGGATGTCAAGGTGCTGGAGCGTGTCCAGAGAAGGGCAACGAGGCTGGTGAGGGGTCTGGAGAACAAGTCTTATGAGGAGCGACTGACGGAACTGGGCTTGTTTAGCCTGGAGAAAAGGAGGCTGAGGGGAGACCTTATTGCTCTCTACAACTACCTGACAGGAGGTTGTAGCGAGGTGGATGTCGGTCTCTTCTCCCAAGTAACTAGTGATAGGACGAGAGGAAATGGCCTCAAGTTGCACCAGGGGAGGTTTACACTGGATATTAGGAGGAAGCGGTTGAGTCACCATCCCTGGAAGGATTTAAAAGACGTGTAGATGAGGCGCTTAGGGACGTGGTTTAGTGGGCATGGTGGTGTTGGGTTGACGGTTGGACTCGATGATCTTAGAGGTCTTTTCCAACCTTAATGATTCTATGATTTAGACCTGGGAGGGAAAATAGGTTGGAAATATATGTATACATAAGGGTTGTAGGTGGTTCAGTGAGTTCCCAGGTACAAGTTACTTCTTGAGGACATTGCTTTCCTTTTTCTAAAGGTCTGCATTGCTTCACTCTAATGTTTCCTGCTTGTGAATTTCTGCTTAGTGGGATTTTTTTAGTGGTTTTGCCTTGGTTCAAGCCAGACCGAGCTGCCAAAAAAATGACTAAATATGAGTCACAAAAGTTTTAGTTACTTTAATGGGTAAGTGAAGAGAAGATAAGTGTGGCTTTTACATGCAATACTGAGAAATCCAGACAGTTATTTGTCGAGTGCTAAGGGAGTGACTGTTTATTTCTGCTCAGGTCCCCCGAACTAGAGTTGTTTGACAGTAGCTTTCCCAAAGTGTTCCCTTTTGTCACTGTATAGTGTATAGGTCCTAAACCAACAGTAGCCAGGGCTTCTCTCGAGAGTTACTCTGTTGAAAGACTAGCTTAGAAAACAGCTTTATTTTCCTCTGTACTTTTTAGTTCTTCACCCTAAATATACTCTTTGACATTGCTTTGAATTATTATGGAGATGTAAAGAAACTCTGTGTTTTGAGGGATTTTTTTTTCCCCCCAGAAACAGGCTTGCTTCCTTCCTCCCTCTCCCCCCCTTCCTTTTTTCCCCTTTGGTGACAATTATCCATAAGAATGATGAACTTCACTCATAGCACTGAAGTTAAAAGTTTCTGTCCCAGTTACAAGATTGTGGTATGGTGGGTGTTGCCTAAATATTCAAAAATAAATGGAAATTGGTGAAAGATTAAAATGTCCACAACTGATGAGGATTAATATAAGTCTTACTGTAATTTTGAAGATGCCTTGGATGTAATTTCAAAATCTTCTGTTCCTTGCACAGAATGAGAAAGCAACACGTGAACTGCCGTGGCTGAGCACAGACTAATTAAATAATTGGTAGGATTATGGCAGTCTTCATGTTTTCTGTTAATTTAGCTAGTGCTATTCAGAAGGTGAGAAGGAAAAGCAGCTTGTGTAAACCAAGGCTTAATTGTTTTAAAAATATATTGAATAAGTGAGGTATGGGGGTTCAGGGGTCAGTCTGCTGACACCATGATGTAAGAAGTTCTACCTGGTGGGATCCTGTCCCGTCTGTCCCTCGCATCCAATGAGGAGGTTGTCAAAAGGTCATCCAGCCTTTTTTGCAGAGCGTATTTTTGTACTTGGATCCCTAATTGCCTGCTTGTGGGTTCAAATCAGTATTTAGTGGTATCCATAATTAGATGAAAGCTAGAGTTCGTTCTTGTGGTCTGAAAGCACAAGCTAGG